CGCTTCGCGGCTCGATAACATAGTAAGCAAAAGAATAAAAGACAAGCCTCTGGAACCAGGGTAATGATCTCTAAATAAACAGCCCACTTCACAGTAAATAAGTCAAAATTAAGATTAATACTAACTTGTATACATCGACGGATTGGTCAGACTTTTCAGCATCTTGTAGTTTCTTGATCAATACATCACAGGACTTGGTTAACAATGGAACCATCACTTTCATTTTGTGACCACTAAATGTCGGTGACAAAGTGGAACGAATACGGTGCCATGTTTGTCCAGTGACTGTTGTCATCATGCTGTTTAAAGGCTTGGGTAATGTAACCACCGATCCCTATATATAGAATTAGTTATATTTTTACTTCTGATCACTATTTCTATTTTAAGGTTTAGAGTGGTACACTGTTAAGTGTAAACAAAAAATACAAGAAAACATGAAATAGAGTTATTTTCATTTCTGAATCTATTTTTTTTCTTAACTAAAAAATGCTAACTCAATTCTTTTTATGTTTTCACAACAAAATTTACCATAGTATTGTACAACAAAAACAGAATAAGATCTCAATTGGCCTTTCTGAAATTCAAGGCAAGACTGGGAATGAGTGTGAAAATCTTCCCTGTAATGAAAATTAAACCTTGCCATGTGAAAAAAAACATAAAAAATTAGTGTTTTGTTCATATTTGAGCCTAATATTCATCAAGTAGCATTTTTTTTGAATTTGAGAGAATGTATGGATTTTGGGGATACTACACTAAATTTGTTATTTTTTCGAATTTTTTTAAAATGCTTACCACTCTGTTTGTCTGAATATGCTCACACTTATTCTATAGTATGTATTTTTCTTCTTCAAACTGCATTGYGTTTGTGACTAGCTGTGGTCACTAAATTTCAGAATGGCCAATGGACCTTATCAACTCACAAATGCAGTTTAGTTGGGGTTTGTGTGTCATCCAAGATGCCCGAGTAAAMGCAATATTCAAATAAAGGTAGCCCAACAAAGCGGATAATACTCAATCGTGATTTATTTTGCTTTATAGCAAATGAGTGATAAATCGGCACGGTACAAAAAAGTGCAACATTTAGTAAATGGTAATTTAAGAAAAGTTACTTACAGGACGATCATGAAAGCTCTGAAATTCCTTCACCAACAAATCCTTCACCATTTCGAGGTCACCTATCACAATGTAAGGTTTTCTACTCACTATAAACGTAGCAAAAAGACGGCCATACTTCTTGTAATAGTCATCAAACTGTAGGTGCATTTGTCCCTTATAACGGAACAAATCCAAGGAGTTACCAACAAACGGTAATGGTGGTGGCCCTGGAATGTCTCCGATTTGAGCAACGATGGCGGATCGCCTGTACGGAGCGATTCCCCAGTAACAAAACAGAATAACGAGGGATATTACTAAAGTGCCAACCCAATGGGTCGATAATAAAGAGAGAACTGAGCTCAATACTTCCATTTTGAGAGTATAAAATATGACGTTACTTCCAAAAGTACGAATAGAGTGTGCACATATTATAGCCCGGGATATAGCTTGATGTCATGTTTCTAAATATATTTGCCTGGCTGCTAAGCTTCCGGTATGTTGTAATAAATTATAGAGATCACGTAGTCTTAGCACGTGTGACGATAAAATAATTAATAGATAATATTTATTCTACAGCAGTATCACTGAGTTTTTCAATTGTCCGTCCGTGATAAAATTTGACTGGAGGAGGGCTGGGATTTTACAAAAATCAATTTCCCCATCCTTGGGACACGGTTTAGGGTGAGTGAGGGCCATCTTTCGGGATCGTTCCGGCGATGTCAGATTCCGTACTACCGTAGAGAATCAGAAAAACAACTTTTAAGGCAAACCTGATCCTTCTTGCGCAGTTTAAGCTCTGTTTAAGATCTACATCTACATTTATTAATCAGCAAGGCTTTCGCATTAAGCCGACATACGTTTACATATATAACAATTTTTATTATGTAAAAAAATAATCTAAAATATCAATTTACAAATATAAATATCGTGATAATGAATAATATAGATAATAATAAATATATAAATAATTAATGATGATAAATTAATCATCACTAATAAAAGAGGCACAAAGGTCTTGAAAAGATAAAAACTTAGCACTGGTGATTTTGTTTGGAATATGGGGGGGGGACTCCCTAATATCAAAGGGCGGGCGTCCTCGTCGGAAATTCTGAAAATGGCCCCTAAAAGGGACCTCTACTGTGAGATGATGGGCGTGGCAGTGCTGAAATTTCACCCCTAAGAGGGACCAATCAATAACATCATTTTGTTTTGGTTTCCYGATATTATCTGCGTTTTTGCACAATCATCGAACACCGTCGGCTCGTATTGAGTTTATGACGACGTTGCCATTTTATGACGGCTTAGGCTCGTCGTATACCCTAAAAGGGACCACAAAACTCAGTTGGTGGGAATTCTCGTCATTATCACCCCRGGGACCAAAATACCGATTTCAAACCCTAAAAGGGACGTCGAGGGCAACAAGCAATAAATATTGCCAWACAATGTGTGATAGGAGAGTTAGGAATATATAAATAGCCGGAGGAACAATTAACTGGWTCGTTGTCTTTGATGTTTTATGTATTGTATAATAGTCTCCTTCACGGTTACCTGCGCCATCTTGAAAGGTAGCCGTGCCTTTACATCGAAGAGAGACAACCGTAGMGTGTGCAATGATAGATTCCCTTGAATAATTGTCTGTAGGTGTGAAAGAAAGTATTTCTAGATTTCTATCATTGCACGCTCAACGGTCGTCTCGCTTCGATGAAAAGGCAAGGCTACCTTTCAAGATGGCGCAAGGAACCGTGAAGGAGACTATTGCTTTGATTTTGCCAGAAACTCTGAGTTTCTGATTTTGCATCATCATATGTTTTCAATGAAGTTAAAATGTTTTGCTGGCTTTTAAACAAAGACACCTTCAAGGATTTTTTAAACATTTATTTTGTCACACCTTAACTGTGCAATAATTACCAGGAGGGGGTGGCGCCTCGCTTTTTTAAAAATAATGTTGTTCCTGGCAAAAACGACATTGCGATTACTTGTGCTTGCGATGTCTAATAAATCATCAAGATGTGTTGTACATCTTCAATTTATGTGAAAAATTTAAAAATCTATAGCCGAAAAAAGAAAAAATCATATCTTGGTTAATTTCAATACCACATCACCTAGTCTTTGAATTTAGATTTCCATTTAGTATGCTTCGTTTCATAATATATTTTTCATAAAAAAGATAACCTAAACAAGCTTTAATAGTTAGATTAAAATTGATCAGTGTTGTTGATAAAACCTTGATAAAAACTGAAAAAGTAATTTCAATTTCAAACTAATTGTCAGTTAAAGTTGTTTTTGACATTTGCTACAGTTCTGGTTGTTATTTACGTTGAATTTAAGATAAAGAAACTGATGAAAATTTTGAATAAAAAACTTTAGCCCCCCCCCCATCTGTTAATTAGGTAATGTTACTTTGAGCCCCCCCTCTGGTTTTACAGCCCCCCCTCCTGGTAATTATTGCACAGTCCCTCATATTAGAATACAGTATCATAAAACTCTAAACATAGTTCCCTCTACTAACTATGCTCTGAAAAAAAGTTCGAGCTTTTTTCAAACTTTCTCGCAAAGATCATTACTTAGTCTTAATGTCTACACTTGAGGCGCAGTTGTATTCCGTCTTTCCCACAACCCAAGACTGTCCTCATTTGGACTTCAAGAGGGACTTTTGTCTCCGGACCAACCACCAAGCTGAACTGCTTCAGAATCCTTGCTAGAAACATCTTCATCTGAAATAACACGTACCTCATCCCGATACAGTTACGAGGCCCGTGACCAAACGGCATGTAAGCGTAGGGATCACGTGACTGCTTTGCTTCGGCACTGAAGTGTTCTGGGTCAAACTTGTCGGGATTGTCGTAATACTCTGGATCGCGTTGGATGCTGTAGACTGGGACTAATATACCTGTTCCTTTTTTGATAGGAAAGCCTTTTATGGTGCAGTCTTTGGTTGCTTCTCGAGTATGAATGACAACTGAAAAAGACAGATGCAAAGTCAAAGAGATCAAAACTCATTATTTTTATGGAGATTACAACTCTCTCTTTTCGTCTTCTTCTGCGTGATCTATTTCGCGAAGTTCTGCCAAATCATACCTGCCTTTACTAAACTCACAAAAATCAATGACAAACTGGTTACTGGGAACATGACCTTTGGTCTTTAGCATAGTATGTCTTTAGGTATGGATGTCCTGATGTCCCTCTATTAACTATGCCTGTACTTACCTGGGGGATGGAGACGAAGTGTTTCAGAGATGATCATTTCCAGGTAGTTCATGGAATTAACCATGTCATAAGATAGTGGCTGGTCCATGTCACTCCATATGCTATCAATTTCTTCTTGTGCCTTTTCCTGGATGTCTGGATTAGTTGCTAGATGATGGCAGACCAAAGAGAGTGAGTTGCTTGTATTCTCAAATCCAGCAAGAAGGAAGATGGCACTTTGTGCCAGAACTTCATCTTCAGTCAGTCTTTTTTCTTCTGGTAAATTGGTATCGTCAGTGTTTTCAAGCATCATATCAAGGAAATCCTGAAACAACAAAACGTTTTATTAGTCTGTATAACTAGCACCACTGATTTTACGTGTAATACTCCATTTCAAATTCAAACCAAAAAACCGCTTATTTTGTTTTAACAACAGATTTCATTGGGCAAAGACCATACCAAACAAAAAAGAAAGCCTTAGAAAATGTGGTTATTACAATAGCATCATCCTGGTGAGACTCACCCTGATTCCCACAATCCCTAAGTTCTATTAAGCCTTCTGGGAATACAGGGTGCCTTAACTGGGTGAAATGCCAATTTTTAGTGCTTGTTGTACTTACAACATTTTATCATTCTTTCTTATGTGTTTGGTGAGCTCTTTGCACAAGAGAATCTGTTGTCAATTAACACAACAGTTATTTTAAAATAGAGTATTGTGGAAATTTCTGGAATAGGAATCACAATTTTGACAAATCACCAATCTCAAAAATTTGACAAATCAGCAACCTCAAAAAACCGCAAATAGTGCTGGTATATATGATCATCAATGGGATTGACAATCTGACCACAACTTTGCAATTATTTTGCAATAATTTTTTTGGTGCTATGGTACTGTATTCATTTTAGCCCTTCAAAAACCCATTTACCTTGCTAGCGTTTCCATTTGCAGCAGCCTCTTTCTTCACTTTAATTATATCTTTTGATAAATCAACAAGCTTAAGAAAATTGCCCATGATCATTCTGTCAAATATGGGAAGTGTCAATATATATTTGCCACCTGGGAGTGATAATGATACAAATATCAAAATTCGTCGCAAAAAAGGTGAACGCTGCATTGCATTTTTTGCAGCAACATAACCAACGTCATTTTCATCTGTCTGGGCATTTGATTCCAAGCCAAAAAATGATGACAAGATTGCCTCTATTGTCAAACCTTGTAAAAATCTGAAAGATATATTGTTTGTCATTAATAATACTGGATGAAGCATCAATCTCTACTTTGGTGTACATTTTTTTACTTTAAGTTTTATTACAATAGATCTACAATTAGCTAATGCTGCCATGTACGTTACCACCCAGTTGAAATCCTGTGGGGAAAAGAACTTTTGATTCTAAGAATTCAACAGTGCAATGAAAATACAACAAATAACTCCTGGGTGGTCTGAATTGAGTGGAAATGTTTACAGCAATGCTTTAGACAATGCCTTAATCCAAATCTGATATAGTGTTGGGCAATGTTATATATAGTACATACATCCCACTTCACAGTAAATAAGTCAAAATTAAGATTAATACTAACTTGTATACATTAACAGACTGGTCAGATTTTTCAGCATCTTGTAGTTTCTTGACCAGTACATCACAGGACTTGTTTAACAATGGAACCATCACTTTCATTTTGTGACCACTAAATGTCGGTGACAAGGTTGTGCGAATACGGTGCCATGTCTGTCCAGTGACTGATGTCATCATGCTGTTTAAAGGCTTGGGTAATTTAACCGCACTCTTAATCAATACATAGAATGAGTTAAAAATCAAATATCAGATTTTGTGTTAAGTTGTTATTTTTTCTTCTAATATTTGTTTAGGTAAACAACAAAAGTTATCATTGTACCAAAACAGAATAAGATCTCAATATTGGCTTTTCCAAAATTCAAGACAAGACTGGGAATGCCGAGCGTGAAGTCATCCACTTAACGAAAATTGAACCTGGCCATGTGGAAAACCATACAACAATTTAGTGTTATTGTTCATGTTAAAACCCATTGAGAAGTAATTTTTTTAAATTTGCAAAAGTGGACCTTGTCCTAAAACTCCATACTTTCCTTGTTAATTTTTTGGAGCTTCAAATGCTTACCATTCAGTTATTACTTGTCTGAATATGCTGAAATTCTGGAGCTATACTTCAATTCTATTATGCTTTTTAATCTCATGGGTGTTTGCGATTAGGTAATGGTCCCTTTTTGAATTTCAGAATGTCCAAATAACCTTTTCAACTCACAAAAGAAGTTTAGTTTGAGGTAATTGTAATTCTATCTGTTACTACCATTTGTGTGGCATCCAAGATGTTAACCGAGTGAACGCTCTATTCAAATGAAGGCTGAGCCCCGGGGGCTGGGCCCTAGCGGGTCCGGTAGCAGTCGTGATTGTTGTGTAGCAAAACAGAGTATATAAAAAAAATGCAACATTTAGTAAATGGTAATCAATAATTTAAGAAAAGTTACATACAGGACGATCATGAAAGCTCTGAAACTCTTTCACCATCAATTCCTTCACCATTCCCAGGTCACTTATCACAATGGAAGGTTTTCTACTCGCTAGAAACGTTGTGTAAAGACGGCCATACTTCTTGTAATAGTCATCAAACTGTAGGTGCATTTGTCCCTTATAACGGAACAAATCCAAGGAGTTACCAAAAAACGGTAATGGTGGTGGACCTGGTAGATCTCCAACTTGAGCAACGATGGCGGATCGCCTGTACGGTGCGATTCCCCAGTAACAAAACAGAATAACGAGGCATATTACTAAAGTGCCAACCCAATGGGTCGATAATAAAGAGAGAACTGAGCTCAATACTTCCATTTTGATAGTGTAAACAACGACGCTATCTTGAACAGCACGGTGTTTATATACTCACTTGATGTCATGTTTCTAAATATATTTGCCTGGCTGCTGAGCTTCCGGTATGTTGTAATCAATAGATAAATGATTAATAGATAATATTTATTCTACAGTATCACTGACTTTTTCAATTGTCCGTCCTAAGACAATTAGAGTATAGTAAGGACAAACTTGGACAAAAACATATAGACAATGAATAAAAAAAATCACACTTTTTGATGCATAGTGCTGTTTTTAATAGTTTTTGTCATGGTTTTATATATTTAAATATTTATCTTTTAAAAATCAGTTAACTACTGTAGTTGCTTTTAATAAACTTTATCTATGAAAACGCTTGATATAGTGCTAAATTCTAAGTTTATGAATATTATACGTTACTTTTGCCGTGTTTTTTGACAATATAGTAAATCATAAAAATGGTAACATCTACAACGTTTTAGAGAGATGTAAAAATATCTTTCGAAAATAATAACTAAATTACAATATAAAACTATCGATACTTTTTTTTAATCTCTCCCTCATTTTTTAAGTCGTTCAATGATACCTTAGCTAATGGTTCATCCCTAAGCTAATGGTCCATCCCTAAGCTAATGGTTCATCCCCAGGCTAATGGTTCATCCCCAGGCTAATGGTTCATCCCTAAGCTAATGATTCATCCCTAAGCTAATGGTTCATCCCTAAGCTAATGGTTCATCCCCAGGCTAATGGTTTATAGCTAAAACAGTCCCAGCAACAATATGAGAATTCGAGCTATAATAGACAACAGTGGTGCTTAGATCAATGTAAGCCTGTTCACTAAGACATAAGCAGGGTATACGGCAAGGGTGTGGAATGGTACTTCCAAAAACGTAAGCTTTGGCCAAAAATGCGAAATCTCGGATTTCTCGACTTTTGTATCCTTGGAATATAGTTTTCCACTCAATTTTGTCCGCCATTGACCTGTATTTTTTTCAATAAAGTCTTGTTTTCAGAAAACGCAGTCTTGATTTCGAATTTTAAACCGGCGTTTTCGGTAAATCTTTCAGGACCATTTTGCCATCTATTTGCTCGAGCTCCATTGCTCCAAGTATGGGAAGGGATTGCTGTAGTTCTTATTCTTCCTTAGTATACGGATTTCAGATTTCGACGTTGTCTTCGTTGTAGAGGATTTGTTTATCGCGTGGAAATGCAGCCGCTCTTTTCTTGCTTTTGTAAATCAAGTATGCTATTAGTAGTCCCAAAGCGATCACGCATATTCCGGCCATTAATCCCCCAACAATGGGCGCGACCTTGKCTTTGTGAGATTTTGGCGTTGCCTTTATAGCGGACGGATCATTGGAATCCCCTAGAGAGATAATAAAATGTGCAGAGTTCAATTTTGAGATGTTTAATGATCAAAAACAAACGAAACAGATATAAAGACAGACAAAAATGGGAGAAGCTAAATGGGTGGAGAAAGGAAAGGAAAGCGAAAACGGATAATAAAAAGGAAAAAAAAACAGGAAAATAAGCGAGAAGAAAGGAAATTGAGGAATTCCCTAAGGCAAGTTGAATACTGRACTGAGTTACACTCAATTCTTAGTGGCACGTTTTGAGAAATATCGAGAAATATGAGTGTGAAAATACTGCAACAATGTGAGACCACATTGACAGCCGAACTTTTAGCAACTAAAATAAATGAAGAATTTGTAATTGCCAGTTATGATTGTGCGATATTTGTGATGTCTTAAAAGAAGCACCTATTCAATATTGTCGACGATAGTTTATCACGCTTAGGGACGGACCATTTAACTTT